GCTGTTTCATTTCACATGAAATATTTGAAAATGTAAATTCCCTCTGTTTCTCTCCCGGCATTCATAAACTATTAAGTCGTTTAGCTGTTTGGCCACAAGGTGGAGATGTGCGCTAAATTTCCTTTTTTTTTTGAGGCAGCTAATGACGTAGTATTCTATCTCAGCAAGCCTTCACTTGTGCGTAGTGTCTACTAACAATTCATATTTAAACATTTTATAAACAGCCCAATTTTCTCTTGGTTTGATTTTATTTGGGGACAAAGATAAGGGTAAGATAATGTTACTTTTTTTTAGCAAAAATGTGGACATTATGGTAAAGATAATAATGTAAAAAAAAAAACCCAACTTGAGTTCAATTTACTTTCCAACATAATATGTATGCCCTAAAACGTACACGTGACGTCACCTGTATTCGTGAGGAAATTAGTCCCACTATTCCGGCAGAACACCGAGATAACTTCCGTTTTAGTCCAACGTTTACTGAGTTTTTAATTGTTTTATCTGACTTCTTTAAATGAATTGCTAGAACTCTGTAAGCGTTTGATGTTTTCAACCTAGGTCTGGTTTGATATGGTTTTTTTTTTTGTTTGTTTTTTGTTGTTTTTTTTACTTCTTTTTAGTCCATTCATGTGCAGTGATCTTGTAACGATATTTAAACTATGTACTGGCAGTAAATCCAGAGTATTCGTAGGTTTTATTGTCTGTCTAAAGTTGTATTTTTGTGGTCGTAAGGAGGAAATCTCAACATTTGTGCCTTTTATAAATTCTCACTCGAACATTGAGTCTGAAGCTTATCAAGAATTCCTGACTGGAACTCAAAAACCGTCACGTGATTATGATGGGCGTGTTCATGAAGCGCACTAGCACAGCAGCTCGTCTCCTGCTGTGTCCATCTGTACAGTAACATCTGGTGTAATACTGCAGTACGCTGCTGTAGGTACAAAAAGTACCACAAATGTGAGCAGTGTGTAGAGAAACGTCTGAGGTTTGATTGCCTTTATTGGAACTTTGTCCATGAGAAGGACAAGGTGTGTGTGTGTGTGGTTGAGAAGAGCGATGATAAAACTTCAGATAAAGAGCAGTTTAAACGAGTTCCACAGCTTCAGTAAAATATTTAGATTAAATCAGATGAGGTGTGTTTTTGATTTGTTTGTTTTGTTTTTTTGCTGACGTCACGACTGAAAAGGAACCTGAGTTAAACCTCAGCTTCTGTCATAACCTGTTAGTGGAACTCTGTTCAGCTGCTGGTACGACTTTCAACCAGCCTCTAACATGAAGCTGCTGCTGTCTGTCTGTCTGACCTGGACTGTGATCCACACAGGTACTTCATGTTGTTCTGGATGAGATTTGTCTGGGAGAAGATGACATTAATTTGATTTATTTTTACTGTCTTATTTGGGAAATTTAACTTTTAAATTGAACATTTTTTATTTTGAGTTTGACCATTTTGTGCCAATCTGTGACATGTACTCTAATAGTTTTGGGGGTTTTTTTATATTATAAACTTGCTTGAAAAATATGTTATTTCATATGTTTGTTGTTGGAAAAGTCATGTGTGAGACAGATCAATACTTAGTTACTTACTTAATTAATCAATACAAATGAATCATTTTTGTTCCGTTCTGACTGATCTGCCTTATTATTTTCTGATAAACATGTATATTCGTATTCATTTTTTAAGAAAACATCTGCGTTGCAGACCGTGGCTGGTACTGTAGCCATGTTGCTAAACCTGTTCAGCCAGGAACTTGTTTCCTGGTCATATCTGGCTAAAAACCTGTATTTGGTCATTATAAAAGCATCAGAATCATTAGATTATAGTAGATTTATAAACATATGTAAAAATGTATCTGAATTAATTGTGGCATTATACAGAATTAAAACTGTTTTTTTTCTCCTGTTTCAGTTCAGTCTCTGCGTTGTCACCAGTGTACGGACAGTTTGTGCAGCAACACGGTGTCAGTCCAGTGTCCTGAGCGGAGCAGAGCGTGTGTCACGGCCACCTCAGGTGGGAATAACAGAGAAAGTTAATTTGTGCTTCTAAATATATTTATGGTGTTTGTTACAATACAATACAAAACAAAAGCTGAATATTATTTGTTTGTTTCCCTGCAGTGACGTCGGACGGCTCCAAATCGGTCACGACGGTGAGTAAAAACTGCACGTCACTCTGCCTGATTCCTAACATAGAGTTGGTGTGGTCGGTGAACACAGGCTACAAACGAGAGGCTGCCGCTCAGGTCTGCTGCTTGATGAACAACTGCAACTCAAAGACACTGGAAGGTACAGTGGTCGATGCTGCTGCTGCTGCACGTATTAGAGAAGCCTTCCACAGGTCACAGGTCACATGACTGAACCGGAAAGTTTAAGTAACAATTTTGCATGGAAGTTAAGACACATCTTATATTCTGACAATAACAATTTTGCAAGTTAAGACACATCTTATATTCTGACAGAGTGAGTGTAGAACTATACTATACTGTATAAATGTTTACTGTCAATTTTAGACATAGATATACTGTATAAATGTTTACTGTCAATTTAAGTCAGTGCAAATAGCCGAAGATTAACGGAAGTTCTAAATTAATTTGTCATTTTGATTGAATTTCCTTCCAGCTCCCAGTAATTCAA